TTTTTGTGTGATTTGTATAGTGTATAGGCCTTAATACAATAGTATTTAAATTTGCAATATTAAAAGGTATAACATTGAAATGCATGCTAGTTTTGTGTAATTATTAAATGCATGATCTTTACTTAACACACACACAGTCTTGCTCTTTCATAAATAAACATGTCTCGTATTAGCAATCTCGATATCCGTGGTGTGATTTCGACGCTTTTGAGAGAAAATAATTATTCGAGATTTGATGCGCTTGCATTTTTTCTTGTTTCCTTCGACTCAGAATACGTTTTCTATTAAAAATGTGCAGATTTTTCATGAGTATAACAAGAAACATTCTACTAGTCTTCTTAGCTCTCTATCTATAATTTCAGGATGATGCTTTTTCCCCATGAATATTTTTTTCTAGTTTTGTAGACTTCAAAAAAATGCATTGAATCGCATGTTTAATGTCCGGATAAAAATAGCTTATTACTACAAAATGGCCTGCTCTGTGATATCTGGACAACTGTAATGATTAAATAGTCGTCAAATTGCTAATTTGGCTGCTTCCAGTTGTTGCGTTGTTTCTCACTTAATTTTAGTATATTTCTCACTATTGAAAAATCAAAAGTCAAATGGAAATTGAGAAAACATAATATATGCAGGCGCATTAATAACTCGAAGAGGAATGCCGCAATTATTTTTGAAAGCTTCTGACTTACTTTTTTATTTTGTTCTATTTTAGTTTTTAAGTATAGCTAGCATGGTGATGCGTATATTAAACTTAATTGCCCTGATTATTCTATTGGCACACTGGAATGGCTGTCTCCAATTTATGATTCCAATGTTACAAAGTTTCCCCGCAGATTGTTGGGTAGCGCTCAATGGCCTGCAGGTAGAAATGATAAAGATACAGATTTTTAATACTGAATATCATTCCTGGGTGTTGTTTATTTGTTACAGCAATCTCCTTGGACAGAACAGTACACTGTTGCCTTATTTAAAGCCCTTTCGCATATGCTGTGTATCGGCTACGGTCGATATCCGCCTCAGAGCTATGTTGATATGTGGTTAACAATGTTAAGTATGGGTATGTTGAGAAAATCGATTCACGTCCTCCTCATTTAGATATCAAATTTTTTTCTCTTCTATTTGCAGTTACCGGTGCAATGTGTTATGCAATTACAATCGGACATGTATCAGCTCTTGTGCAAAGCTTTGATACATCAAGAAGATTATATAATGAAAAGGCAAGTACCAGATATGAATTCGAAGGAAAGTCCAGCTTATAATCAAATTCACAAAATGTGTTAGCGAAAAAATAATCATAAACAAAGTGACATTGTTAAAAGCTCAATCGTTTACGAAGTATTCTCATTAACTTTCCGGAAGTAAGAAAGAATGAATTGAACTTCACATGTGGAGAACACAGTTTGTATTCAGTTTTCTAACGGCGAAAATAGGACCTACTCGTATTCTTCTCAAACTTTCAGAATATAACTATTTTTGAATCTTTTAACTAGTCAGATCCGTTGTTTTTCTGTTTCTAGTTCAAACAAGTTGAAGAATACATGGCATGGCGTAAATTACCGCGTGAGATGCGAAATCGTATATCCGACTATTATGAACATCGTTATCAAGGAAAAATATTCCACGAAGAATCAATTCTTGCAGAATTATCTGAACGATTAAGACTAGTAAATGGCTACTGTGTCTCGATTCTTCATATCGATATTCGTTTATTTCTTGCAGGATGTTGTCAACTACAACTGTCGTGCATTAGTATCATCCGTACCATTTTTTGCTAATGCTGATCCTAATTTTGTCTCAGACGTTGTTACTAAACTTCGTTTTGAAGTTAATCAACCCGGTGATTTGATTATTGTTGAAGGAACTATTGGAGATAAAATGTATTTTATTCAGGAAGGAATAGTTGATATTATCAAATCAGATGGAGAAGTGCTCACAACACTCTCGGATGGATCGTATTTTGGCGGTAAGAGGCAGATTAAAAATGAATCTAGTTTCTCATTTTAGCTTTTCTTTGTTTAGAAATTTGTTTATTAACACGAGCGAAACGCGTTGCAAGTGTTCGCTGTGTAACCTATTGCAATTTATACTCATTGCATTCAGATCAGTTTCATAGTGTTCTTGAATGCTATCCATTGATGCGTCGTACCATGGAATCGGTGGCTGCTGAACGTTTGAATAAACTCGGAAAAAATCCATCAATCATATCAAATCGTCATGATCTCAAACGTGATGCAGAAGCGATTAAAGACATTATTGCACGCGCCACTCCTCAGCCATCGTCAGATGAAGAAGAAGATGATGATGATCATCAGGATCACTCTCATCATGAAGATCATAGTCACACATCAACAATTCATCGAACACTATCGACTTACTTTTTACAAGATCGAAACCGTCAGGATACACAATTTGATGAACCAAAATTATCATCGAATAAAAATAAATCGTCACATCGTAGTAAACTATTTCTCGCACCAGCACAAATGTTTAGTGAAAAACTAAAAAAATCGCCATCAACACCTTGGGGTTTATTTCGCAAAGGTGCGCACATAACGGATAGTCCAAAGCAGACTGCCACACGCACCAGTGATTCAACTCCCGCACATGAAGCCAGTTTTTAATGTTTGCTCTAAATCACATAGTTTTTATTTTCTTACTTTTATTTTTGTTAATTTTTATCTCTTTTTCTGAAAATTGACTTGTCCGCCGGTATAACCGTTTCTTTACCCTGTGTGGTTTGCGATGTGTATTATTAGAAAAGAAAAAATCAAAACGAATTCAAGATTTAGCAATACAAATTTTTAAATGAAATATTCTCATTGGCAGGTACAGATGTCTCATCTGAGGAACATTCTCTCAAAATTTGAACTTTAAAATGTTCTTTAAGACACCATTATTGAATAACTTTTTTTCATTTAATTCGTTTTCTTAGTCCGCATCTCACGCGGTAATTTACGCCATTTTACTACCACAATACGATAAAGAAATAATAAAACATTTGTTTATTGGATTTTTATTTTTATTTTTTAACAAGGAGAGAAAAGAATATACATAAGTTACATATATCTGCGTACTTTTGACAGACTACACAGTACTGAAATAGTGAATAGATTTCTAACAACAATAACCGTTGGAAAATAAAGGATGTAGAAAAATAGGAGGAAACCTAGAAATGGAAATCTAAACCAATGCTTTATCCACCAGGATCTTTGAATTAGTCTTTTTGTGAACACCTTCAAAAAAGATATAAAGCGGCCTTTCATCATTGGGAAAATAATGCACTGTATGTTATCAAATGAAGTGCAACTCTAGCGTACATATGGGTGATTCTGGTGATTTTTGTACCGTTCGATTTAAGCTAATGGAAATGCATGATTCTCCGTTAATACTAAATCGAGCTTTCAGAAGCTTATGCCGTTTTATTCCGGACATTTTACTCTATATGTACTGCTAAGATCTCTTTTCTGTCTTATTTCCTTAGTGTACAGTAAGCAAAACACTTTGTTTTTGGGTTCTTTTTCCCTTCTTTTCTTAGTGGTTCCCGTACGTTCTTTTTTTTTAATTAACATTTTT